TTTATTATCGTTTGTTGCGCCAAACTACGTTCTACATCCCGTGGTTTTTCAATTAACTTCATAACTGGATATATTTCTGTTGTTCTATATTCATATCGTATATTCTATACAACGTTTCATACCGGTTTCAATTAAAATAATCAGCGATGATATTTTCGTGAAATAGAAAGCGCTACGTCTAAATAAAACGAACAAGTGATTTCTATGATGTATATATTCTCTTTTCACGAGTTTTCATATTAAATGGATGGAAAAATTGGGGAAAAAAATCGAAGGACTCGTCAAAATTGTATCAGCCAATATCAACCAATGCAATCGGTCGTGGCTAATGTAGAATGAATGACAAAGAGAAACCGATATAAATCTCTTCGTTAATGCAGCATAATTTAATATAATCTATGGAATACCATTATTAATTATCGAGCATCGTGAGTTTCTATTTGATATATGCTCGGCATATGTTACTGCTTGGAATTCGTTGGTGTTGCAATTTGATAACGCGTATTGACTCCGAATCTCTTGTACAACAGACACTAAATTAGCTATTGAATCGCCCGTCGAGTTTTGATTAATGGAGGGGAATAAGCTGCGATTATTGGCGACTGTCTCGTAAAGGTTGCAAATCGATTAAGTGCTGGAAACGTGACTAAATGGATAGCAGGAAATTTCAAATTTTGTTGTATCCGTTCTAACAGGAATGATACATTTTCTTCTTTCAGATATTTTTATCCGCTTTTCTTCGTTTTAACAAAATTTCACATCCGTTGTAATCTGGAATAATACATTTTGTTCTTACAAAAATTTCGTGAATAGCCACGAATAAGAGAAGAAGAATGGAAAGGAATAATTTCAACATTTTTTTTTTATCTGCTTTCCTTCAATTTAACCTCCTTCCCGAAATCTACGATGTTCGACAACACGTGAAAGATAATGTTTGGCAGATTATCGATGTACAGGAATTTCCTCTCAAAGGACTAACATTTTCATCGGCTATAATTTCCGCATTAAATATCTTACAAGTACTTACTTGGTAATACGCGATTAAGCGCGTTCAGGAAGAGCAGCAGGAGGATACATCTTTACTATACATTAGCATCGGTGCAAAGAGGGCTATTACATTTCACGGGTTGCAAGCAAAATTCCTTGGGATAGGATTGCAGTGATACGAGAAATTCCGTATGGTGGCTTTATTGGCCGTACTCGGCTCTTACGATCTTATTATTAAACCGATACCTCTCGGCCGGGAATCGTGTGAACGGCGATCACTTATGGATATTCGTGAAATCGAAATAAAAGCTCAAATATTCAAACCATCGAATATATGAATTTTTCATTTTCGAATAACGTAGAAACAATTTACTCAACTGATCGAATAAAGATGTTATCGTTATTGTTGTATTTCTTAGGATAAATTTGAAAAAAAAATCCTGATGATGAGTTCGCTTACCCGATGATGAAAGACACTTTTTTTTTCTTTTTCTCTTCATATATAGAATAATTATCACTTGCTCGATTCAAAAAGACCAATTTATTTATTATTATTATTATTTTTCATTTTCCTTTTTTTTTTTTCCTTTTTTTACATTATAACATTAGCGTGTAGGAGACGAAAATCTTGTTATCGTTTTATTCCATCCTCGCGTGTTCTTTTTTGTTATATTCAACGAAAAATATTTCACAAACGTCCATATTGAAAATCACTCGATACACTATATCACTCACTTGAAACAAATTGATTCGTTGAATCGAATCAAATCTGCGTACGTCAATTAATGCAATTTCGATTATTGCTGCTAATAAGTTTTATAACGCCGCCTATACCGGGTAGCGGATTAATTAATAGTCGAGCAATGAAAATCTCGGATAATTTTATCCAGAAAGTCGATCAAATTGTTTATCCGTATTATAAATATATGAGAAATTATATTCTTATTTCGCAAAACGCGAATATTAATATTTCTCGTAACATTCCGTGTAAAAAGATATTTTATGTAAAATTCTTATATATATATATATATATATATGTATTTCGCGAAAGAAACACACACCTTTTGATACATCTTATTAAACGTACAATTCAAAGTGTAGTATAAGTTAGTATACACGTATTTACATTGATCACATTAATACATCGAGTGATTATTTCTAACGTTACCTGGAAAAATGGTGATTCGAGTATTATTATTATTATTATAGATAGAAAATTCCTCTTTTCCCGCGGCGAAGCATATGACGAACGGTGATTGTACTTCATTTCGCGGGCGGACACGTCGAACTATCCTTTGTTAAGCGATTTTTTTAATATTTTTCCAATGGGAAAACGCATCGGGCTATACATAAAACTAGTTTGAACAAAAATGGAGAGAATTGTTCGTGTTCTTTTATTATTATTTTTTTTTCTTTTTCCAGCAGTTTAGCAGTTTTCAATCATATTTTCATTGTGATTTTATATCGGGAGAGAGGAAATGTTGACCAAACTGTTCACGTGTTTTCAGGCTGCTATATGTAATCGTGTTCGCAAAGGTAAAATCGTTTCGCTGGATTTTTCATGCCTACGGTTTGTTAATGAAAAAAAAAGAAAAAAAATTGGCGATCGTGTATTGGCATTCGTATAATTCACGATACGACGTGGCTCGTTTAATCTCCTCTATCTCGCCTAATTGAAAACTGAATATATATATATGTATCGAAATAATAAATTATTTAAGTGGAAATAATTGAAAATAATAAATTTTGATTTATTTTCGCCCAAAAATAATATTTTGATAATGAAAATTTTAATTTGATCGTACAAATACATCTTTCTATAATCAGTTCTCAATTATTAACCGAACGATACAAATATTTGCCCTCGTTAAAATTGAAATTAAATTTTACTGCGTTGTGTATCGTTCTCTCAAAAAAAAAAAAAAAAAAATACGGAAACATTTTTTATTTCATTCGAGTTTTCTTTTTCTAAAAAAAAAAATTCAATCTTGGTCAAAAATATTCGCGTTAATTCGCGAATCTTTTTTTAAGAAAAATTAATCGAGCTCACTTTTGTGCTGCGTTTAAATCGGTAAATGGAGCGCGATGTTACTTATTTGAGTAATTAAAAATTATATTCGAGAGAGAACCTCGGCCTTTTCCATTCAACGCGTGTCACCACGCGATGCCACTGCATCGATTGTCGCGTGAATGGACGCGATGTCTTCGCACGTGCTGTCATTCTTTATTTATACGCGAGGAAAAAAAAAAGGAAACAAAAATTCAGACTTGATGGCCGAAACGAAAGAGAATATTGAACGCGAATAAAACTCGTGTGGATTCATATATATATATATATATTTCGCATCGATGAAATATCGTTTTTTTCTCCTTTTCCTCCTTCATTACAGAAATTTGTGACGCGTCTTCCAACCCTTTGCGATCGACCGTTTAATTGAATCGTTTAAAAAATGCAAACGGATATGTCGTACGCACCTCTTTTTTCTCCTCCTCCTTTTGGCTCCTTGTAATCGTCTCGCGCGCATTTCCTTGGCATATACTCGTTATATACTCGTTTTAGGAAAAGAGATGAACCGATAAGTGCATTGAAGGTGAGTTTTTTGTGTATAGAGTTGTCACATTTTATAATTACGAATCATTTGTAAGGTTTTTTTATTTTAAAAAGAAAAGGATTGATTGAACTTGAAGGAAGAATCTCGTTGGAATAGTTTTGAAAAGAATAGTCTAGCGCAGTGGTTCTCAACCTTTTCCTCGTCGCGGTATACTTTTAATAATTTAAAAAGTTAAGATAAATTGAAAGAATTTTATTTGGTTTATCGATCGATGTACCTTATAATATATCTTGTAAAATTAGCATACGTATGGATGTTCCCTAGGCCATTTTATATAAGATATAAGAAATTCGGAAAAATAAATTACCACGGCACATCCTGCAAAACGTTACCACCTCTTCAAATGATCGAATAAATATTTGAATTGAACGTAGTGTCGATTGAGATAAAGAAATGTAAAAAAAAAATGAATAATTTTCATTTTTCACAGTGGTTGAGAACCGCTGGTCCAGCGTATAATTTCTAACTGCGACTATGCTGATTTATTATTTTCTTCTCATAAATAATTCGTAACAATTAAAATCGGACACCCTGTATCGTACACACGATAAAAATACTCGGAAGATACTCGGTTTTAAAAACGAATTTTATAATACTCGATTTATAATATTGCTTGAGCTTATTTTACGTTCGGTCGCACGTTTCACGAGAATCGTTGCAGCGTCGCGAATGTCTTACGTAAAACGTTTTCACGTTTTCAACATTTAACATGGAACGAAGTTTCTTTTTTCCATTTTCAAGAATCTCTTATTTTTAATCGATCTTCTACTCCCGATCGATATCATATATTTATATATTTGTATCGGCGTATTGAACGTTGAAATCGTTTTCAAGATCACGAACACACGCTTCCGCTCGAATTCAACTCGAAAAGTGAAAAATAGACATCTCGCGTGCTATATTATTATTTTCGAAGTTCGATATCCAGGCTATGAGGAGAGGAAGCCTTTAAATTAAATCGTCGAATTACACAATCGAATACAGATTGAACGAATGTGGACACATTCGAGGGTAAAATTCCGACTACTCTCCAGAATACATTCACTCGATCGACGCACAGCACAGTTTTATTTTCCAACTATCCGCTAATAATAAAAAGAACGATCAACTCTGAGAATGAACAATTTTTTGAGAAATTTCCAAAATGCATCCTATTTTTTCCCCAAGTTACGTCGAGAGTGAAAAATTACAATTTCCTTCAATTTTACCCCCGAGGAACGCAATTCGGATTAAAAATACGAAGAATGTTTTAAGAATTATTTCTCTCGACCTGGACATTCATCATTTTCGAAGGGATTCGCGCAACGAACGAACGAACGAACGAAGCGTGTTTCATTCATGCGAGAAATACTCGCGTTGCGCGCTCTAAGGGGGGGCAAAGGGAGATGGAAATTATTCGTGATTCCGTGGCCTGTATCAATTCGGTGACAGGATAGGCTGGTCACGTGGCGCAGGCTTGACGCGGGCAAAGTCGATTCGAGGTGCGTATACCGAGAAATGTCAGAAAAATCAACATGACGTTGATGGACGCTCTCGACGTAGCGTTTCGCCGATCACCGCCGTGCATAGCCGCCGGTTTTTCCTCTTCTGCAAACAGAAACGGGGCAATGAGAAAATAACGTTTTTCGCGAGGAATCGACAAGGGGAAAAGTTATGGCGGGAAATTAAACGCGAGAGTAAACCGACGATTATACTTTCTGAAATTGAAGATTTTTCCAAATAAACGAAAACATTTCTCCGAGTACATATTTTTGAATGAAGTTTTTGCGCATTCATCGAAGAAAAAGAAACGCGTTTTTCAGAAAAAAAAAGAAAAAGAAATGGTTGTCGCATCGTCTCGACGCTTTCTTCTTTTTCGGTCAATAAAAAGAGTGACTAGTATCGAATCGGCGATCGATTTTATTTCTCTCGTTTCGAACCGAAAGGTGGATGGAAATATGGAATATTTATCAGGCAGAGCTCGATTGAGAGGAAAGAATGTGTAGAAAGAATGAGCGTATTAACCTTCGATCACGTGTATCATGATATACGCCGGTTTCGCGTTGCTCGGGGAACAAGTGTAATTAGCACCATGTGAAAGTTTCACTTTGTCGACAACCAGGATCGATCCGTTTTTCGTAGCTTCCACTCTGACACCCGGCTCGTCGTCGTAGTTGATCATGCGCCCCTCTCGATACCAGAAGATGAAGCTGGGCGCCTCGGTCGACGCGATTAATTGACACTCGAGTCGAAGGCTGGATCCTTGCTTCACGTGCAGGTCAGGGCCCCCTGGGATGACGGAGTACGCCTCTGTCACTTTCAGTCGAATGAATCGCTGTTGGACCGGCTCCGTTTGAATCTGTTTCGACGCCAACCGTTTTTTTTCTTCCATTCGAAATATAAATTTGCTCGTTGGAATAAGTCACCACAGTTACCTGGCACTCGTACAGGCCAGCATCGTCGGGCTTAACGTTCTTGATCAGCAACGTCCAATCCGGGCTGTTCGAGACGACGATGAACCGCGTGTCGATGGCGTGAGTACCTGTGCCTAACGTCAGTAATTGCCTGTCCTTTCTTCTGATCCACGTTACCTGCAACGATAAATCGGTTATTGCTCGTTATCGAATACGAGAATAACGTTCGAATTTAATGGAATTTCAAAGTATCGATGAATAGCATCGATACTTTTTTCAAATTTTTGATAAGAATAATATGAATTACAACGATTTCAATGTGGCGCCATCTGAAACAGCGTTCTTTCGTTTTTAAGAAGAGTCGCGAGGAGCGCTCCAAGTTCTGTGTATCGAATATCGGTACTTTTTTCAAATTTTTAGTAATTATTATTATACAGGGAATATTATGGATTCGTGAAAATTATTAAATGTGCAAATAAGTTCCTTCCCATTTTTTTCTACGTAAATTTTGGCCGAAATCGAATTACTTCTCGCTTGTGGCGCCATCTGAAACAGCGTTCTTTTGTTTTCAAAAAGAATCACTAGGAGCGCTCCTGTGTATCGATGAATATCGGTACTTTTTTTCAAATTTTTGATAATTATTACACAGGGAATAATATGGATTTGTGATATTCCATGGAAATTATTAGATGCGCAAATAAGTTCCTTCCCCTTTTTTTCTACGTAAGCTTTGACCGAAATCGAATTACTTGCTGCTTGTGGCGCCATCTGAGTGTTTCCAGTTCTGCAACAATTTCAATATGGCGCGCGAGAAGCATCATTCGCATCATTCCAGTTTAGGAAATTTTGTACCTGTTTTATGCAATAAAATCTTGAATTTGGAAAAAAAAGGGGAAAGAACTTATTTGCACATTTAATACTTGTATACAAATCGGGTGGGCGAATAGAATAATATCGAAAGATATTCGATCGTGGAAGAAATTATACGAGGCAAGAGTTTATATATCGTCCAACCAAGCATGGAATTTGGTTTTAAAATGGCGAAACACATCCCTGCATATTTTATATATTCCCTGAAAATATACTCCCTTTTTTCGAAAGATATTTAAAAAATTCTAATTAAATAGTCCGACCGTGTAGAAAAGTTTACATTTTTTAATATGTTTCCGGCATCCTCTCTCTCATCTTCCGCGTAATAAATACGGTATTTATTTCAACCGCTCCTTTTCTATTATTTATGTCGCATCAAAATTGAAAGTAGCTTTAATAATAAATCCTTCTCCCTCCCTCCCTCCCCTCCCTCCCTCCCTCTAAGTACGAAACATCGTCATCCAGCTTATCCATCCGTAATGCTGTTTTCGTCCCGTGACAGCCGTTATTCTTGCATTCGTAAGAAAGGCGATTTAGAGAATGCACAAACGGAAAACGGGGGCTAAGGATACTCACGAAAATGACTACAATAGCCCGGTGGACAGCGAGGATATCTTTGAATTACGGCATCGAGCATCCCGTCCACCTTTGAAGAAAATTCCCGTAGAAAAATTCACCTTTCGCCGATTTCGTGGAACAATCGAACAAAACGTAGCTTTAAAAATGGCACGCCTCTATCTATGACCCTTCCAAATCCTTATTCTCCCTGTCAAATCGCTCACGTTTCGTGAAAACGTGTTCGAACTTCGACTTTGATTTTGCTTGGCCGAGAATTTTCCGCGCTGATCGCGAGATGTCGTACAACATAGTCGTGAAACATAGTGACAAGATTTGAAAAGGGAGGGAGGGAGGGAGACACACCGCTCGAGGTGTTTCGAGTTTTTCTTCGGCGACGCGATTCGATTCGAGGTGTCGCGAAATGATGGGCGGCGTCGAATCGTGTGCGGTGTTGTAAAGGGGGGGAGGAAAAAGGGAGTGGAAAGGACGTTGGATCGAGTGGATGCCGGTAGAAATACAACATTTTCGCGAATATTGATAGTATTTCTTCTGATTACATTCGAACGACAATCATTCTCGAATCTTAGCTATCTCGATATAGTTTCTTGCGAGAAAGTTTCTTCCAAATGTAATTTAACCCTTTAACTGCAGATACTTTTAGCACGGCCCATCGTTCTAAACGAAAAAAGGAATATTTTATTAAAATCAATAATACTAGACAATATAATTCCAATTATTTTATAAATTATATACAAAAAGTGTATTGCAAAATAAGAAAGTATCGTACAATAAAACAGTAAATGTACAAGCTGTTATTACAGAAACTTAAAATCTCAAAATTTATACTAAATCGCTATATTCGCCAACTATTTTGCTCAACGCGCCTTTTTCTCGACGAAGAAACAGAAGGCTTATCCAAATAGGGAAAGTTCACAAAAATATACTTAATAATAATAAGTTCTAATTATAAATTACATTAAAGTGATATTCTATTTTTATCGTATTTATTTTATTTCTATTTCAGTACTGTAATATATAAGTCACAGCTATTCGATATTAGCAAAAATTAACACGTTGTTTACATACACCGCAATTGAAGGGTTAAGGAGATGCTTATGGAATTCGAATGTCCACTCTCTGTCCATTCTCTATCTGAATTTTAGCACGGAAATCGGAAAAGATCGATTAGATCTTCCTCGGAGCGAATAAAGTTTTCGAGGTGGAATTCCAAGAAAAAAAATTTTAACGCATTTGTTTATCTCGATACAGGTGGACTCGTAGCGAGTAACGAGCGGGAGAGAAAAAGATGGAGCTCGTCGGCGACGATCGGGGAGGAAGGGAGACCGGCCACTTGCACGGTCTTAATTGTCTACGTCGAGTGCGCTCGAGGCTCCAGGTTTCGCGATTTTCTAACGCGGCTCGACGAGGGATCGATGAGAGCGCCGCGACGAGTGCCCACTACACTATAAACGAGCCGATTAATGAACTTGGGCGACGGTATTACGAGTCACCTTCCGATCCTCGCATCTTCGCCCAATTAATCGTGTGTACCTCTCGAAGAATTATTTGCCGCACGAATTTCTTCTCGAGGGAAAGAGTTTTCAGTTTCAGCTCGATTTCGTTCGAATACGAATTTCTCGCTTCCGATTGATTTTTTTGTTTGCCACGGTTGAAAAAGATGAAAAAGGAACTTAATAAAAATCTTGGTTTCACTTGGTGGCGTGGCGGGATGGGATAAAGAAAAAGGAGGGGATATAATACATCCTTTTTCCGGTCAACCGGCGAGGGGAGGGGAGGAGGGTTCCATTAATCAGGCTTTTCTTCCCACGTGTGAACACGGCATCGTGATAACATCGTCGACCTCGGTTTAATTAATGTCTCCCTTTGGAAGAGTGGCCCGTGATCGCGATAAATTTATCGAATATCGAGCGCGGTCGTCGATTTTACTTCCTTTCCCGAAATCCTCGATTCATTCTTTGAAATGATGATCGATCGAAAAAAGGATCATATAAGGAAATAAAGGAATAATTCGTGATTGTATCGATAATATCGTTCCTTTCGAATCGTTCAAATCTTTATTTTCCAGTTTCGTGACACGCAGTCCAAGAAATTGCAGGGAGAAGAAAACGAGTGGAAGTTTATTAATTTGTACTTGTTGATCTAAATTGAACGTTTCTGATGCGCGCGCGCGAATCGTAAAATTTAAGGAATCTCGTAAAAATTGTATCTCGGTCGTTAGCCGAGTTTTTAAAGGGAGGAAGTGAAATTTTCAAAATTTGGAAAGAACATTTGGTGGTGGTCTTCGATCTTCAACGGAGCCAATAAATTGATTTTTATCGCGATGCACGAAATTTCTTAATTCCAACATTTTATCCAGAGTTCGATTCTAAAATGAACGAATAAAAAAGATAGATTGTTGTAATAAATTTCTATCTCGTTCATGTATCGCGAGACATAGTAAATAAAAATTGAATTCTTTTTTCTTTTCCTTTAGGAAGAAAATTATTTTCCCTCTCGAGTTGTTCGTGAAACGCATAATAATTGAACAGGCCACTCGACGGCGGATTCTTATATTCCATTGTGCCCCAAGATTGTCGCGTGATAACCGGATTTACGAGGTTTATCCCGTGCGTTTATAGAGGATAAAAACGTGGTGTATTCGCGCGGTGTCGCGCAGGGGACGCGTGCCGATCTTCGCGCCCTCTTCTTCGTCGTTCTATTCTTCCTGCATGCAAAGCGACGCGTCCGAGCGGAAAAGCACACGAGCTTAGAGGCGATACGTGGAGCGCGAAAAAAAGGTGTCGAGAGGCGAAGCAACTTGATATCTCTACGCGTGATGAATAAAAGATCGAAGGTAGGATCGAGATTAAAGAGATAAAATCGCGATAAAAGAGTATCGGGAGAAAGAGTAGGGGACAGAGTAGCTTTTTAGAACGTTGCGTTCCCTATCATTGTTGTCTCATTGTTGCTTCTTTCGCGATTTTCGATCTGTTACGACGGCCTCCGAGTTATTATTCGTCATTGTGCTCGTCCTTTGACGCGTCAGTTTTATCGCCTCTCTCGACGGATCATATTTCCTCGTCGAGTTTTATAGCTTTACTAGTAACTCGAGACCCGACTTTTTCTTTCCTTTTTCGTATTCTTTTCGTAGAGTATATATTTTTGACGTTTGAAAATTTTTCGCAACGGATAATTTGATAATCTGGAAAAAGAAAAAATTGTCTTATAAATATTTTACAATTTTACGCAGGGGGGACCGACGAGGGACCTTTGGGGCCCTTGCTTCGTTGAGTCCTTTGGGCAGTGGCGCACCCACGTACCCGAGCTTCTATCCAAAAGCAAAATTTCTCGCGCGATATCTTTTTCTTCTGTTTCATTTTTGCTCAAAATTGGTCGCTTTTCGTCTCACGAGTGGCAAGTTTCGGTTCCGATAACTGACGCACGACAGACTCGATTATAAGCATTCGTTAAGGCTCCATTGTTGTAGTTCAGTCGTTCTATATCCGCGTCAGTGTGGAATATAACCTCAAAAAAATTATTATCTCGATTAAATTATTATATTTTACAATTTTTGGCAGAGAGAATCGAGAGATTTTGGTCTCTTTTTCTTAGTAACTCGTAAATTTTATTTAAAAATGAAATATCTCGCGCGATATCCTTTTCTTCTGTATCTTCTATTTTTGCTCAGAATTGGTCGCTTTTCGTCACGAGTTGCTGGAAGCTTCACGGATAACTGACGCACGGCAGAC